CTTGATCATAGCGGTCATCATCCAAATGTGAATTTGATATTCTACGTAGCAGTCATCTCAATTAAATCCAACTTAATAATAAGAACTGGAATCCACATTGAAGAGATATATCTAAATCTTGCATGAAGAGCATCCGGAAGCTCGTTGCATTCAGATTATCCTCATAATCCTCGATAAGTTTACTCATCTTTGCAGTCCACCTAGTGAACCACATCAAACAATCTTGCCACCTCCAGATCTTGTACTGACAAGCATCAAATCACTAAGTCTGATTTACACTCTATTCTGACTCGAATAATATTGCCACAATACTCACCAAAATCTTATGCTCTCAAGTGAAAATGGATCTTCTGACAAAAAGATATATCAAACTACTCAGTCCCAAGCTAACATCAGAATAACTATTTTGATATCTTAAGAGAATAATTAATATACTCTAATTACGAATACATTAAGATTATTGGCATTCACATGGTTCTTTCCTTAAGAACATTCCATCTCATCAAGCCTTTTATTCCGTTAATAAAATTATATCACAAACAAAGAGAAGAAGGCCTAAGGCTCTAACCACAGTATCCAAAAAATATAAATTTAAAATCATTATAAAATTTTTGAAAATAAAATATTAGATTTCTTAGAGATAGAGTAGAATGGATAGTTAAATCATAGTGTCATCTCTACCTGAAATCTCCTACTTAAAATTATTTATTTATATATTTTGTTGTGTCTAAACACATGACCACATCAAAACATGCGTTATGACAAACATAGATAAACAATTTTACTTTTACATTTAACTACCTAATTTATATCTTATCAATTTTATTAGGATATTTCGTTTCTCGTGATATTGGTATGCACCCTAGGAGCTCCTACTAGAACAACTACCATCAAAATCTCCAAGATTTTATTAGGATTTTACAATTAAATTTTCTGGTGTATAAAAATACTTTTTTTGAACTTCTAAATTTTAAATTTTAATTTTCTAAAATCTATAAAATAACTCTATTATGAAATCAAATGGGCTCTACATAAAAAATTTTAAAATTTCCAAAGAAAACAATAAAAATATTTTAAAAAACTATTCTAAAAAGTTTTAGATATTTTTATTATTTTTAAATAATTTATTGATTAAAGAATATATTTTTATTATTTTTAGAAACTAAAATACATTCAAAACCCTAAGGGCCACTAAGGCTGAGGCTGACGGCAGCACTACCCCAACAGCGCCCATTAGGGTTTGACCGCCGACCCCATCCACTGCAGCCCCTTTTTTGTTTTTTTTGTTTTTTTTTTTGTTTTTTTTTTTGTTTTTACATTTAGAAACGCTCTCCCTGACGTTCCAACACCAGCGGTGGCGGTCGCAGGCCTCCAGCGCTTGTGTTGGAGCCACCGCTTCCAATCCCGCTACTCCATCAAGCGCCACTAGCACCGACGATGCAGGATCTAAGGTTTATATTTTTTATTTCTAGAATTAAAAAGTTTTTAAAATATGGAAAAAAATTCAGTTCTCAAAAAATTAATAAATCACAGATTTATTAAAATTTCCCACTAATTCATAAAAGTTAAATTTTTTTACTGTAGATCTAATATCTCTTATGTTAAAATTTAGATTTTTACACCAAAAAATTTTAATTTTTTTAATAAAAATAAAGTATATTAACAAAAATCTCAACTTTCTAGATACCAACATCACCATCAAGAAACTTCAAATCTAATGCAAACTAACATAAGATGAAATAAAAATAGATCTAATTCTAAACAAGAAGATAAAAAATATGAGCAACCCTATCTCGCTCTGATACTAATATAAACCATGTGTAAAAATAACTCTTGTTTAGAGGTTACCATTCCCGAATATTTTGGAGGGATCGCTACACATCTACTCTTGATCTTTGAATAATGGCTGGAGGGCGACCACATTGATTCGACGAGAAGCTCCCGCATATCACCCTGCGACTACTGTATAAAGCAAGAGCTTGATCGGAGAAGGAATTGACGGCTTTGTGAAGGTTCATGGTCTTTTCTCTCATTTTTTCATCATGAAAACTACATATGTATATATAAAGGGCTTAGAGATAGAATCCTACACATATTAGGATTATGAATTTCTTATCTCTAAGATAAGATATTGTCCACCCACTTATTTGGGTGTCTATCTATCAATAATAAGCAATAGTTTTCATTGCAATGATGTGGAGGAATTGACATCCCTTTAAGTCTTTAATTATGCTTGGTTGGAGGGGAGGGGATGAAAGATGCATGCTTTTATAGTTTATTTTCTCTAATATAAGAAGAATCCCTTCAAATAGTTTATTAGTTCTAAGATAAAAGAGAAGAGATTCTTCTCTCTCTAACTTTTTAGTTTATTTTGTGGTGTCCTCTCTCCTCCCTCACTCTATATCACCCTCTAAAAACCCCAAATCAAAAGGTGACAGAGGGGAGGGACAAAACTTAGATTTGCCTTTCCTCTAAGAACCCTTACCAAAGGCAAATCTAAGTTTTGTCCCTCCCCTCTGTCACCTTTTGATTGGGGGTTTTTAGAGGGTGATAGAGAGTGAGAGGAGAGGAGGAGAGGGAGGGGACACTACAAAGTAAACTAAAAAGTTAGATAGAAAAGAATCCCTCCAAGTTGGGAGGATTCAAGAGGAGAAATAAAATGAACTATAAAAGCATGCATATCTTCTTCTCTCCCCTCCAATCAAACATAAAGACTTAAAAAGACGTCCGTCCCTCCATCTCATCGCACCTCCCCTCACCTCACTTCCCTCCTCAAATCCCTACCAAACCAAGCCTAATAGAAGGCAAGAATTGCTAAAAAGCAGGGTAAAATAATTGAAAGTGTTGATAGTAGCCAAAATATGAAGAAAAACAAGGAGCTCTTCACTCGATCTCATGAATCCTTTTGGTAGACTATTCAATAATCCTCTTTTATCCCAGTTTAGAATACAAAATAAGGAGTGAAAAAATTAACATATTAAGCACTTGATTTCTATTTTTCACGTAACATATTTGTATAAGCTTTGTTTTGTTTAATGTAAGCTAACATACCTGAAGAACCACACTGGAAAATATAACCACTACGAAGCTACTTACAACAAAGGGTTCTTTTTCGATATTAGTCCCTTATATCTTTCGCGGTTTGAAATGAGTCCCTCAGCGTATTGAAATCATTATTAGGTCTCCCAATTCTCATGAGTTGTTTAAACACCATCCCTCTAATTCATATTTCTGAATGTGACTGGAGTGACTAATTTCAGAATAATTTAAGAATCAGGGTACCTAACGATAGTTTCAATGATTTGAGGGACTCGTTTCAAAGTAACTTGAGAACTGGGGAACCTAACGGCAATTTCGATGGTTTGCGGGACTGATTTCAAACTAAATTAGGAAATGGGAGATCTAATAACAATTTCAGTCATTTGAGGGAATAATTTCCAAGTACGAGAGACTTGAGGGATTAATTATGAAAAAGCAAACCCTACGACAAATGGAGACGGTCAAAATGATGGTCATAAAAAGCAGCCAACCAGCATCTGACACGCAAGAGAGGGAGAAGTGACCCAACAAAGCAAGGACCAAGACCTGGGCAGCACTCGCACATACACTTGCAGAATCTGCTCCTTTTTGCTTTAATTAGAAATCTAGGATACGGCCGGCCATGCCCAAGATTTAATACAAACTTGGACCTGTAGGAATCTCTTCACAAAGCCTCTCTCTACTGCCTCTCAAGCCTCCAACGAAGGCTAAAGACTAGTCATAGTTTAGCTAAACTTAGGAGAAGTGACCAGTTTTCATCAGCCCTAAACAAATTCCATTTCCACGTCAAACCTCCTCCCTCTCTATTTTTCGACATTGCATATAGGAACTGAGCATTGAGCTTGGTCCCACCCTCCAACAAGAGCTGATGACATTGAAAAGGCATCATTTCCCAAAATATATGTTAGTTCCAAAACCATATAGTTGAGTAAAAAGGATGAAACTGGCTTCTGCAGGCATGCACTTTCCATTATATGAAACCATTGAGAAAAGACAGGAGAGTACTGGCAGCTCACCACACGTGAAATAGCCTTCCATTTATCTTCTGCGCCTGATGGAAGAGGATAGCAATGGAAAGGAAGTGGGATCCTCATCAAGATTTCAATTTCTTCGAATGACGAAATCGATGCATAAGCGTTGTATATCATTCACATATCGATCAAATTCTTGCAGAACACTAGCTGTTGTTCAACTCGCGCGGTATAATTTGTAAGAGTTAGTTACAGAGAAACAGTACCCTTCCTCCTACAGTTGTATTAAGCACAACTTTGCAAGTTTGTAAAAATCGGGAAAAAAAATAAATAAAGTAGGCTTCAAAGAACAGGATGATCACTGATAATTGTATTGGTTGTGCGACGACTATGGGAATCATCTCTGTCAACGAGCAGAAACAACAAGCAGGAACAACAAGCAGAAGCAAGTGGGCCTGCTTTTTTCAAAGGTACAAGCCCCAGGCATCTCGGCCGTCCCACTGCACCAACAGAACACCATGGCCGCTAGCTAGTGATTGTTTTGGTGGTGCGGATGCTGGAATTCTTCTCTCTCGACACCCCACGGTAACAACAACAGGAACAAGCAAGTAACCGTGCTGGTGGTTGTACCATGAAATTAACAATCTGGCAAAGTTGCTTGCTTGCTTGTTTGTTGTTGCTGTCGTTGTGGGATTCCAGCAGAGACAGAACTCCAGCACCGCACCTCCAAAACAACCACTTGACGATCATGGTGTTTTGGTGTTGCAGTGGGAAGGTCGAGATGCCAGCCGGTGGTTGTATCTTGAAAACAGTCGGGTACAATTGCTTATTGTTGTTCTTCTTCTTGTTGTTGTCGTGGGGCGTTGATATAATAGATTAGCTAGCCCCAGCTTCGCACTACCAGAACAATTCCAGAACACCGTCGAAATGTATTTATTTATTTATTTTTGTAATAATCAGTAAACTGCATAAGAAACAATTCCAGAACACTGTCGAAAATGTAAGCATGACGTACTTTCCTGGCGAATCAGTCAGTGCCAAATCAGCGTCATTATATACATGAATACATGTAGTGTAGAGTTGGAACAAAAAATTGTACTACAGAAAGAAGTAACTTTTTCTTTCATATTCTAAACAAACTCCACTAATACAACAGGAATTCTGAACAAAATTTTCAGAAGTGGGCATTACCTCAACAGCCATTCCTCTTCAGCTTTTATACAGTTTGTTTCATCAGTGATGGATTTTCCCCCCAACACACATTCATTGGATTGATACGCATCTGTGCAATGTTCGTAGACTCAAAATGCATCTGTGCACGGGCTGGATTTCATCAATAGTACTCTGTTTTAGGTTGATGGAACTTGATAACATGTCAACAAGGGTATGTCATCGCTATCAACTCCCTAGAATGAGCTGCTGCATCAGAACAGCCAGAATGCTGCCGATGGAGATGTTGATTACATTGACAAGGTCGTTGTTGAGCTACAACGAAAGAAGTCATGGTCTTGTTTGTTATCTTCACAGGGCAAAGCATAAAAAAAACCCAAAGGATTGACAGTGTAGCTACAAAAAATTCCATGAAAAATGTTGTGTTAATTGGTAGATGCATGCTATCAGAAAGCAGAATCTTTTGGTACATTCTTTTTTAAACTACAGGAAAACTCAAAACTTGTCAGGTTCATGCCAAACCCAAAAATGAAGTGAAACCATGTGGACTGTTTCCAACTTGCAACAATCTATTTGACAGGAAATGCCAAAATGATCTGGTAACACTATTTAGTTCTGGCTGTGTATCAAAATGAAATGATTAACCATTAAGGGTACATGCTTAGCTTTTCCGCTCACAGCTTAAAAGAGCTTTATCTATCTGAGGCCCATGCATATCTCCTTTTTATCACCAACTCCAACCTATGAAAACAATCTACAATTCTTCCAGAAAAGTACATAACCATAACCATATTCCTTATTCCCATTTCAGTTCTTGCTTAACATATTCCAGATGAGAGAAGTATTTTTCTCATTGGAGGGTCTTGGTAAATATTTTTAGCACTTTTCTGTTCTGCTGTAGTTGGCTGTCTACCAATTAAATCATTCATAACCTTAATTGCCTTGTCATCCTCATACTCCAAGTTAGCAGACAACCAACTGATGCAAATCCCAGTTTTAGCACTCATAATCTATGATATTCTTCCCTGCAATATTAGAGCTTTTCCCTAAGTTCTGAGCAGCTTAACATTCATGCACATATATGATACATATATGATATATCTCTGTTGGCTTTATGGTTCATCACAAGAACATAACCCCTCACCAACATTCAGTTACATATATGTCATTCTTGGGTTTATGGTTCATCACAAGAACATAACACCTCGTCAAACACCACCCAAGTTATGTCATATGTCGTACGCTGCTCATATTTAACAAATTGTGCATCCTCGATTTCCAGTTATCACATTCCTAGCATTTAAAACCTGGCACAATAAGACACTACCATGTACTGGCTTCATGTTTTAAACTATAAGAAGCATTCTCATAAATAAAGATACGGTCTCACAGGACTCCATTGTCTTTTTCCACACAGTTATGGATTTGAGAAGTCCAAAAGTATGATAGCTTTTCGTAAGTGATATAGTAGGAAGGTATACTGTTCAATAATCATGTGAAATACGGACCAAAAGGTAAACAAAGATGCAAATTGGTAAACAGACAAATTGACGTCAAGAATATCTTACCCATTGAAAACCCTCCTTATCTTGTAGTGCAGCACCTATCAGGCTCTCACCAAAATTTGCAATCTGGGACGCTATAACACATACAACAGCCTGCGATACATCAATCTGCACGAGAAAAGTAACAAAGATGGTGAAAAATGAAATAAGTTAAATGTAGAAAAAGAAATATGAGCAGTACTCGTAAATGTTAATAGTCATACAGGAGGAAAGAACAGAATATGTCAAGCGTAGCCAAAAAATGATTGATAACTTAGCAGAGCATCCAAGAGATCAAAGGGACCACACAAGAGTTCTTTATCTCATGCGAATGCCTGGTGATTTATTGTGGGCATTAAAAACTCAACAGTTCAATAATTAACATTATTTACCTATATGTTCTTGATTTATCGGTAAGTTTCCATCAAGTGATCATGATAACATTGATACATTGCCTAGATGAAGAAAACATAAAGCAACGACCACAGTTTCCCTCATGTAGTGCTGTGGTTTATAACACACAAGTAACACAACATTAGTTCCTCGGAAACATTGGCTGATCTTACTTGGCCACAATCACAGTCAATAAGATCTAAGAACAAAAGAAAGTGAACAAACAAAAACCACAGCAATTTCATGTGATTTAACGGCGCTTCCTCTTTTAAAAGAAATGGAGTTGGGGGTAAAAAAGTACTCTTATTCCACAGGTTTATTCCTCTTTAACTAATTGGACGTAGACAAAAATGCCAATGTTTAATATTTATGGGACTCATGAGGTCAAGACCTGCTCAATAGGGTATTGGAGAAAGAATTGATCTAGTTTAGATTAAGACATCTTGTTTGGGTTGTTGATTCAGTCTATTTTGTACTAGGTTATTTACCTTTGAGTCTACTTGTTTGGTTTAGTATTTTGATCGAGTCTATTTGTATAGTTGGTTGATTCTATTTTAAAAACTCCATAAACATTCTTGTAATTTCAGATTTGAGATGAATAAGGAGTGACTTCGATGAGATTTAAATGGATGCATGTGACTTGCAATTGGCGTGAGACCAAACCGAACACTAACTATAACTGCCCTCTTATTCTTCCTCCTCTCTTGCTATCATCACCCTAACCTCTCTATTCTTCTATGTTTCCTTGTCCTATTTTCCTCCTATTTTCCTGAAGCCAAGCAGCCCCACATACCCGATCTGCTCCCATATCTTCTCTCTTTTCATTTTCCCTGTAAAAAAAACAAAATTAGCCCCTCTACTCACTCTCAGGCATTGCCTTTGACAAGATCCAAATAACAATTAAAATAAGACACCGAATAACTTGACTGACATCGATATTGCCATACAATTATATACAGGCACCAACATAGATTCATGTAACACTAATATACTGAGCATGTACGCTTTTCTTTATCATTTCTCATCTCTTATTGTTTGTCACTGCTTCACCTCTTTTCTTTATTAACACCTTGTTTGGGCTGCTCTGAAACCCTGGATTGCATGTCCAAATTTTCAATTTGGGTACATGGATCAGGAGTAGTTCGCAAATCGAGGTCTGCTGACAGCATTCTCGTTTCCTGCACCTAATCAACACATCCTCTGAGAGGCTTGAACTGCCATAAATTCTATAAGCAAAGAGAAGCCAAGCAGGGTCCAACCCAGTATGATCCCCTCTATCCCAACAAAGAATCACATAAGAACGAAATACAAAGGGTCCATCTCTTTAATACATATATAGTGAACGCATTAATTGATCGGATGCTTGTCATATGCAAAGTTGTAGAAAGCTAAAGCAACATAGTAGGATAGGTCTTTGACTTTGTCAGTTCTTAGCAAGCTTAACCTAAAATAGCACCAAGGAAGTTTTGGAAAAAAAAAAAGACAAACAGCAAAGCCAACAAAAAATAGGAAAATTTTAGGGGAAAATAAAATTTAAGCACTTGCATAACAAAGAAAAAATTTAACTGATACAAAAGCCTAAATGAGAATGATTTAAAAAAAGATATTGATATTAGAATGTGAAAATGTTTTAGCTGGAATTAAATAGCCCAATATGTGGAACACAAACCCAGAGGGCGTTTGCAATTGATAAACTTAATTAGATGGTCCTAATAGTTGTGCCATGTGGCCTGCTGAAAGGGGACGCACTACCCAATCCACAAGGTTCTTTATCAGGGTCAAAATTATGTCCACAATTTTTACAATCCTGACCTTTTTGTCCTAAACCTTGTTTTTGATGCTCGCATGCATTCCATGTGCCAGTAGCTATTATGGTTATCAAGGAGCAAACATTTGGTCAACTCATGACTCATGTATGTTGCGGGTTTATCTCTGGCTTGAAATTAGGGTCTTCCTCATATTAGACCCTAGATACTATCCTCTTCTTATATTAGACCGCCAAATCTTCATATTTGTAAGCCCCAAGTCTTTATATTTGTTTGCAAAGAGGTTTTGTTTAAAACAACACAATTGACTTGGAGAAGTAACTTACAAATATGGGAGTGTTATTTAATACAACTTAATGAATTTAGGGGTGTAAATAACAAATATGAGGTTTGGGGATATTCTAATATGAAAATAAGGTGGAATTTAGGGTCTAATATGGGAAAATTTCTTGAAATTATCTTCACTAGCTTGGCTGCTTTTTTCTGAATCTTTACAACATGGAGAGTTACATTCTTCTCAAGAACCCCAAACACACTATTAACTCAGTTAATGCATTCAAATCTTTCTTACTGAATACTAATTATAATACATTGTGGTTATCGGCTCCATATTAGATATCTTGAAATTAAGCATAAATTTCAAGAACTTCCATACTGGAATAAATTTGTGGGAAAATATAATTAAATATTAGAAGTAGATCAAAACCAATCCTCGACATGAGACTACAACACTTACCGAGGTAATTTTCAACTGACTTAATTATAGGAACGCACAAGAGTTTTGTGTGTGTATCTTTACTTGATAATCTCTATTATCACAAGCATGATTCCCCCTCCTGACAAAAAAATTGGTTCTGCTTCTTTTGAGAAGGCTAATTGCCTAGGTAAACTTATAATTGTTGATCATGTATAGGTTGAGCTCATGCAACCAAGGACCTATCCACAAAAAAATCTACCAGTGTAAGAGCCTCAAAGAAGGAGGATGATATATTTATTATAGGCTTCAACTCCAAGGCCACGAGAAAGTGAAGGACCCAAAAAAGACATTGCAATGACTTCTTTGGGAAGACATGCCAACTGAGCAGCCAGCTTCTGAAAAGGAGAGACCATCGAAATTAGCAACCAACTACTAGTTTTCTGTATAAAAACATTGTCTGAAAGTTCTGGGTTGATAATATTCACTCCTTGAATGTAGAACTCCGGTGCAATTTGGAATATGACTCTTTAAGCATTATAAATTCTTTTCAAATGAGCTGATGATTTTTTTTTTCCCAATACAGAAGTGCAGCAGCAACCATATCAATGAAATTCTTCTTGGAGGTGTTTGTTCTTGGGGATGACCACTAACATCTCTAATTTGTCCTACCATCAGCTAGCCTATATTCCATCATAAAACATATGTTGATGTAATTTTCTAATTAATGAAAAAGATATGTCGACGCTAAGCATATTAGATATCATTTCCGTATCCTTTAATCAAACGACATCAATGTATACAAACTTCATAATAGTATATTTCCTTGATTATAATCAACAAAGTTCATGTGTAATCAACTTAGAACTTGAAAATACAGAAGCAGAAATTGTTTACCTCTCTCATTAAATATCCAACACTTGCAAGAAGAATTGATGCTAAAAGACCAGCAACAGTTCCCTCCAAGCTAACAGCTCCTTCAGTTCCTCTTGGAACCACCTTAAATGTTGTGACAAGATACCTGCTTTTAAGTACAAAATATAATTCATTACTGTGGATCTCCTTGAATATCCTATGATAAAAGGAAGAGGAAGTAAAGTAAACTGGAGTCCTGTGTTCCTAAAATCAAAAGAGACCTCCACAGGTTAAAGAAATCCTCATTTCAGTAAAAGAGAAGCTGACAAATCAAATGAAAAAATAGCAGGTAGGTCATTTTCTTGATGCTTAGATCACTTAGCAAGCTTCACGGATAAGTCATAAACTACAGTTAGTGATATAAGATGTCCCCAATATTGCTTTCATTACATTACAAAGCAAGCATACTAAGATAATTGGGTATTTGAGTAAAAGACAGCCAATCAAACCAGATCACATGTTTTTGCAAGATGAGGCAGAAGGCTAACAGGACAGTTCTTGCACAAACTGGCAATCTTGATGCTTTTGGATGGGACACATATCTGAACCAAAACTTGAGCAACTATTGAGGTAAGGCAAAAGATACGCACTTGTTGATGCAAGACGGTGAGTGATCTCTATAGATCTTCTATAGCTAATACCTCATTTAGTATAGTACTTTTAAGTCCATACACAAACCTATGTGAATCTATCAAACAGAAATAAATGCAGGTCATCTAAAATGAAAAAGTAAACTAGAATCAAATGGATTTTACTTGTGTAATTATGTACATGAAAGCCATACATTTTCTAAACAAGATATTTAGTCAGCATGAGCATTTTTGTGCCTAGCTTCAGCATGGTCATTGACTTGTTTAGTCATGCAGATGGTTCATGTCATTTTGGCATCCTTATGAAAGATCCTACAGAATCTTTAGCATGCTCACACACACACACACACACACACACACAATCCAACACCTTCAGACCAGCAATAGGTCAACTCAAGGGTGGTTGAAATCATATGGCACAAGGAGACTTAGTGAAGGAACGAACGAACGAACGAGCAGATAAGCTAGCAGGTGGAACCAGCTGGCTAGAAGTGGCAGACAAAATAATAATTGGCCTCACTGGAACAACTTATTTCTTGCATCTATTTGCTGTTAATTTTTCTTAAGAGCAATGTGGAAAGGAAACTTCTATACTGAAGTAGTGACTGTGTCTCAAAATCCATGTGATCTTTGAGCACTTTCACAGACATCCTTTGAAATGACAATTCATGGATATTCTCTGAATATGGTCAAAGACGCTTGTCTAATTTGTCCTCAAGATTAAAGTGTACTTCAATTTTATACACTTTTAACATGATCTACTTTGACAATAATATGATAATTCTTTGATATATAATATAACATTGGATAGCTTATTGAAATGTTCATAAACAAAGGTATAAGAAAAACAACTTATTAAATTTTTAAAAAAAAAGCTATGGTAGTGTAATATGCGAGCTTGTTTAAAATATCAGATGCCCAAATGCACACAAAAATTATTTGCTAATTCTTGAAGTTTAATTATCATAACCAATTAAAGCTTGGGCTTAAGAGAAAAAAGTAGAAATAAGATAGTTTTTCACACTTTTATCTCCATCAAAATCCATTGTCAATGATTTACCATGTTAATAAGCATGTTTTTTTCTCTCCATGTGTACGCAAGTGCATGTGTGTTTGAGATTGTTATATCCACGTCATACCGAAATCCAAGATTGTCTTTAGAATTAGTTCATGTCATGTAGCACAGATTTTGGTGTTACAGCCTTCTTATGTACAGACATATCCGTAACTTCAGATTTTACTCATGGCAGTATGTATGTACATGTGCCTGTGTATAGGGGATACATCTTGTGAGGCACCTCATACCCATTTTTCCACACATACCAAACACGCGTGTTCGCATGCACCTGTGCACACACGCATTCACACATATGTATATGTATATGGGTTTGATGATTATGAGCTGGAAGTTAATTTTCTTAACTGAGCTACCAAGAGGTCAAGGGCAGTGAGACCCACCCATCCGATGTGATTTACATGGTGAGCCAAACACCTCCGACCTTGGTAGTCATTTAGAAAAATGAATTGCCATCTCATGCCCATTATTTCACACACACGTGCGCGCGCACACACATGCACACTAACTTCCAGACCAACCAGAAGAAGAGGAAGTACACAACTAAAAAAGTATTGATTTCTGACCAGGAGGATCCCATTTCTAGTCAACTTTTATCATGCATGAATCACCATAAGAGTTCCAACAAGGCAGAAAACAATTAACTTATGATCCCATAAAGGTGTCTCAGATTAGAGACTGTGCCAGAGTAGCGAAGTGTACATCACAGAAAGAATTAGGAAAGATAACATACAAAAACATCTTCATGAGACCAATATATGAAACGGTAAAATTATGCAATTCAACAAATGGGCACTCATGTTTGTCCACAGATGTCTAGTAAGTATGTCGATGCACAATGCAGTACCTATAGACTACATGACAATGTGTCCTTGGCTAGTATACAGATATAAACTCTGTAAGCATGAACCTGAAGAAGATTACAATAGGACAATTACTGAAAGAAAGAGGAGTAATATTACTGTTAGTATTGGCTCTTTTGAACTACATAATTAGACTGCAACCGTCCATCATAATGTGAAAAACATGTCAATGGAGTGAGCGAGTCCCGAAAATTAACTGCTTCCAGATGTTGCAGAAATAGTGGAAACACATTGAAAAATCATTTAGACATGAAATTTAACTATAATTGTATGGAAAACTTAAATGCAAAGGAATAAGCATCACAGGAACTGAAAACAGACGAAAGATCAAACTGGCCCGATAGTTATAACTAGCTAATCTCACAAAAAAACCATCTTATCAACAATGAACTACGCTTAAAATATGCTCAATAATTAAGAAAAAATTTACGTTGTTTTCCCATATGCCTTGCCGATCTCACTGGAAACTGTATCACTTAATTTTGTACAGAAACTGGCAACAAAGCCAAGTTGCCAAAGTCCAGCAAAAGCAGGCCCACCTATTCCATTTATAGATAGTAAAGAACAAACACATCCGGCTGCACTGGAACCAATAACACTTCCTGGTCCTCGCCTCCCTCTCCTTTTCTCAGCTACCCCCTGAGCTTCCTTTTGTGTTATCTTTAACTTTGTTACAGCTGTGCCCTGCATATCTCGAGATGTTAATAATGTTGATCCAACTAATTGCCAACAGCAGTACAATTCAAATACATAGTAAACAAATTGAGATTTGTGAACTGAACCCTTTATTGTGTTATTAGAATAAAAGTCTGAAGCACAGGGGAAAAACAAAAATTCATAAAAGAAACTTAGTGAAATATAGATAGAGAAACATTGACAACCTCCAAAGAAATAAAATACAGCAGTAAAAATAAGTCTTGGACTGTAATGTCTGCCGTGAAAAGAGAAAAAGATAAGTATTTGGACAGCTTAGAAAAATCATATAGAAGCTTAGATAACTTATTTCTATAATAAATTAGAAATAAGAAATACACCTAAAAGGCTAAAAGTGGCGCAAAACAACTCTGTGACTCTGCCATATTTAACACTCATAAACAAGGTAAAACCAAATGAATCTAACAATACCCTTCCTAGATTTTTATGTAATAGGTTATGCGAAAAACATTAATATGACAAACGCCACTCTGCAAATGAATGTTTGCAGCTTATCTTAATATTAAAAAAGGTCAAGCAATAGGCATCCCATGACATGGATCCACATGACAAAAGATGAATCATACACATGGACTAAAACGTTTTTTCATGTGGCTGGCCCTTCGAGTATTAAAAGTAATATTGACCAATGAAATCTCCATTAGAAGCTGAAGTTGGATTAAGTCTTAATCTGTTTAATCAGAGCACCAACTTTATAGAAGTTCAAACAAAACTTTTCATGTTTTTTCAACAAAAGCAGCAAGTCATTCTGAGAGACAAATATGACACAGCTTAAGCTTCCATGAATAAACACTTTAAATGCTAATTTTATATAGGCCATATTGTTAGATTTTGAATGTAATATGTTACGCCAAAAACATTAATACGACAAAAGCCACTCTGCAAATGAATTTTTGCAGCTATCTTAAAATTAAAAAATGTCAAGTAATAGGCTTCCCATGATGTGGATCCACATGGCAAAAGATGAATCATACACATGGACTAAAACGTTTTTCATGTGGCTAGCCCTCCGAGTATTCAAAATAATCTTTACCAACCCCATCAGTAGCTAAAGTTGGATTAAGTCTTAATCTGTTTAATCAGAGAACCCACATTGTAGAAGTTCAAACAAAAATTTTCATGTTTTTTCAGCTAAAGCATCAAGTGATTCTGAGAGGCAAATATGACATAGCTTAAGCTTACATGACTAAATAATTTAAACGCTAATTTTATATAGGCCCTATTGTAAAAGTGACCAAGAGGGCACCAGTCAATGGCAAGTAAATTTTTTAAATACTCACACCCGATACACCAGTTATACCAAACAATTTTAGCCTAAGCAAATTCTAGTGAATCCCACTGATACTAAGCTGTCATTCTTGCCATGTCACAATTTAATATGGCATTTTATTGATATCTATCTGATGCTATGCCTCGGAGGCATACCCAAAGAATAAATTCAACTTAATCTAGTTTCCAAAGAGAGCATTGAAAAATTTTCTTACTCAGTGCACTAGAAAGGAGGTTCCAAGCTACACATGGCCAAGTAGGCAATAGTTCCTTTGCTAAAAGAAAGCTTTTGTAATTTTGGAAAGCAGAGCATAGAAGTAAGTTATCGCTCAGGCTTTTTGGGACTTTAACAGCTAGAAGCGGCAAAAAGCGTAAAGTAACAAAGCAGTCCAGTTTAAATATGTATAAATATGTCAGAGGAGAGGACTTAGAGGAGGAAGTGGCTTTGACTGGAGAAGGAGGTGGAGGAGTTTTCACTGAGATAGTGATGGTGATGGTGAGCTTTGACCAGAAGCTCGAGAGAAGATGATGTTGTGATGATGAAGGCGGAGCTTGTTGGAGAAGGATTTAGAGGTGGATTTGGTGGTGGGAGGCGAAAGAATTAGCTGGAGGTAGTGAACAAGGGTGTGAGAGTTATCGTAGTAAGTTATCGCCCAGGCTTTTTGGGACTTTAGCAACTAAAAGCGGCAAAAAGCGCAAAGTAACAAAACGGTCCAGTTTAAATATGTATAAATATGTCAGAGGAGAGGACTTAGAGGAGGAAGTGGCTTTGACTGGAGAAGGAGGTGGAGGATTTTCCACTGAGATAGTGATGGTGATGGTAAGCTTCGACGAGAAGCTCGAGAGAAGATGATGTTGTGATGATGAAGGCGGAGCTTTCTGGAGAAGAATTTAGAGGTGGATTTGGTGGTGGGAGGCTACAGAATTAGCTGGAGGTAGTGAACAAGGGTGTGAGAGTTATCGCAGTAAGTTATCGCTCAAGCTTTTTGGGACTTTAGCAGCTAAAAATAGCAAAAAGCGCAAAGTAACAAAACGGTCCAGTTTAAATATGTATAAATATGTCAGAGGAGAGGACTTAGAGGAGGAAGTGGCTTTGACTGGAGAAGGAGGTGGAGGACTTTCCACTGAGATAGTGATGATGATGGTGAGCTTCGACGAGAAGCTCAAGAGAAGATGATGTTGTGATGATGAAGGCGGAGCTTGCTGGAGAAGGATTTAGAGGTGGATTTGGTGGTGGGAGGTGACAGAATTAGCTGGAGGTAGTGAGCCAGGCTGTGAGAGTGGGAATTAGGGTTAGGGTCTATTTTCGTCTCGAGTCACACAAGCGGAGAGGATGGAAGAAAAGAATAGAGGCTTTTACTTAAGAAAATGGGTTAAGGTCGGGTTCGGGCTGATTACAATATAAACCTGTATTTGTTTTTTTATAAAGCGTAGCTAAGCACTTAAAAGCACTTTTCAGTGCTTTTAAATGCTTAATGGCATCTTTACGAGCTTTGTGACATGTTTTCAAGCAGAAAGTGTCACGTCCGACTTCATTGGCCGCTTTCCACGAACGCATAGTGGTGAGACACCGCTTTTGTCGTGTGCATTGCTTAAGCAGCCAAAAGCATAGCCTTTTTCAACAGTGATGTGTAGTATCATTGCCCTCCAACCAAATTATGTTTATGTAGTATCCCTGCACTCCAAAAAGAACATCTTTTCTTGATGCAAGAAGAACAATTCTTGCGTATTTAAATAACACTACCAAGTCACTGAGAGATGCTTATTTTTTCTGACACTCTTCTCCCTTGCGCTCTATATTCATGACGGGGCATCAAATAGAAGGCATGATGAAAGATTGTAACCCAAGTAGTGATCATTCTAAACTATTTTCTGACACATGTTTTGAGATGAGACATAGAGCAGTCACCAAGTGATGCAACTGCTAGTTCTCCACTCCAGCTTACTAGTACACTCCAGCTTACTAGTAGAGAAATGAATTTAACAAGAACTTCCATATATTTCCTTATAACAATTTGCCTTCTTCTCAATCCCCATCTTGAACATAACAATAACCTTAGCATCGGTTATTATTACAATATTCAATGAGCTATCGAAACATGACACTAAATGTATATTACATCAAGTGGGAAAAGCTAATTGTTTGAAGTCCACAGTTATTTTCATTTCACAGGTCAATCTGTGTTAGAAATAATTTCCAGAGGAAATAAAAGTTTTTATATTGGTTATAGATTTAAATGGGGTTGTTCCTATAAATAGAGTTGTAAAATGTAAACTTTTTAGATCCTCTTTCTTTCACTTTTAGTGACCAATACTTAAACATTTATGTAGCATTTGGATATATCACTCAGGCCCTTCAGAATTCCTAAAGCTTTTTCCTGTGTCAGATTTTAAAACTTTTACCTATTGAAGCTAATACTAGTCTACCATCAACTTTGATACGTTTTACATTCTTCTACAAATAGAACAGATATACACCTTCCATGTATCTATCAATCCATTCTACATAGATAAGACATATCTGGGGTTTATAGACGGTGTTCAATACTTCTATAATTTCCTTGAAGAAATCCAGGAAAAGTGGCACACAATGGACTGCGTGATTCCATTTACTATGACTTCAAATGTAATTCTATAATCCCTTATCTTCTCCTTTAAACAACTGATTCAGGAACATCAGAGTTGCAGATGCATTTGCTCAGCTTTGCCTTGACTCTTGATCATGCCAACCCAATTATCACTCGCACGGCTCCTGAATCCCTTGTGAAGTTTGCCGAGGCAAACAGCCTTAGGCGTGTTTCATCTAGGTTTATTGTTCTTTAGTCCTTTTTCCCTTTCTATTCTTTCCTTTGTCCCGGAAAATAAAGAACATCAGAGTTATTACTTATATCATATAGAAACCGTGAAACTATCTGCTTCATCTGAATATGAACGAATGTAATTTTCCCCGTTTTCTTTCTCTTCTTGTTTTGTTTTTTCTCATAACAAATCAGTTACTTCTACATTTCATTTCATTTCTCCACACAGTAGAGCTGCGGGGTTCACTGTTTCTACACCCTTTCTTCACATTATCTTGAACTTGTTGTATTTATAATTTAGTTTAGGAGAACTACTAGTTTCATATGGCCACAGCGTATCATGAGGATTTCAGAATCTAGATTATACGCCCAAGTACCAATCAAGGTTCAATGAAATCCAAATCTTCGTATAACAACTGCCATAAGCTTACTATAAGCTTACTATAACGAAATAAGTGGCGACGAGCAAGAATCCAGAACCCCCAAAAGCCCTCCACGTCAAGATCCCCAACGCCAGAGCAGCTCCGATCCCCGACGCCGAGAGCCCGGACACGACAACAGGCGACCCGACGAGAAATATCAGCAGGTTGCTCGCGATCGCCGATTTCCACGTCGGCGGCGAGGTCGCGACGAGATCGAGGACGGTGGATTGGAGCCCGGAGAGGTGCTGGAGCGAGAGGGACTTGGGAGGAGGCAGTGGCATTTTGGAAACCCTAGGTTTTGGATTGAGGAGAGCTAGGGTTTTGGGGGTCGGGATGAAGGAGGGAGGAGAGAGGAGAGGGACGTTGAGGCGAGTTGAAGGGAATGAGAAGGCCATTCGTGGGGGCGCGGAGGAGAAAAAGTTGGGTCTTTTCGGGCTCGTCGTGTTCTTTTGTGAGGAGGAAGGAGGCTGGGAGTCATTGGATCCGTATCCAATGAGAAACTAGTGTGAAGTAGTTGAAGCGGCTTCGGGTTGTTGATGTCCACCAAAAATTACAGTACACTGAATTCTAATTTTAAAACGTGACTGGGTTTTTTTTTTTTTTTTTTTTTTTTTTTTTTTTTTATTTTTTTTGCGCGCATGGACTGAAAGGATAATTTTATCTGAGTTGAACTAGACTACTATGTATTCGACATGTTACCAATGTAATTTTTCTAGAAATGATTGTCCAAACTCATGAATATGATGTAGTACATATGAACTATCAACAAATATAATTACAAAGGATCAACATTGTTAACACATGTATCATATGTCGTGAAAATCAACGTTAAAATTTTCATAAAGTTACCTAATATTCGCTCCTCGATACACAGTTCAGAATATATCGAAATCATTTAAAATTTTATTTCTAAGTAATTCATTTGTAGATAATATCTACCTGTTTCGATTTTTATTTGCAAACTCTAAGTTTTAAAATTAGGTTGATAGTATTCACATGCTAGATATTATTGATAGTAGCCTAAACTCACTTCATTTTATCATATGCAAGGTAATAATACTATATATTATATATATAATATAAATTTAGTATTATACTTAATATATATTAATATATATATATTATATATATATATATATTATATATAATAGCAATATGAGTATCTTGGTAGTTGAGTGTTACATCCCTCCACTATTCAAATATTGGGACGATATCACTGGGTAGTGATGAGATGAGGATTTGAACATACACACGAAATTGGTGCTTGTAGCACGCACAATCAACTACAACCAACACACACACCATATAATATAATATATATATATATATTATAGAATATAATATATCGAAGATGAGAGAGAGAGAGAGAGAGAGAGCGAAAATAATATAATGGTATGAGGTAAAGCAATCGTGCACTCAATTCAAAGGGACCACATTCACATGGGTTGAGGAGTACATGAGGATATGCAACCATTTGAATAAGTGGAGGTGATTATGTCACCTCACTACCAAGTACAAATTTTTGTGTTTGGTACCAAGCATACCCATTATTCTCATATATATATAAGACATCGAGGAAGCGTAGCTGAAGATTGTCATGCCAAAATTACAGTTTTAAAATCAAACTCCAAAAAATACATTGTTATTATTTTTAAAGAGGAGCACAGCCATCCACTATCAACACCATCAAAGGTTCATCTTTTAAGGTCCCACCGTAATGTTTCAGTCGCAACAAAGTCTTTAACTAAACAGTTATCAATGGTGAATATACCTTAGCATCAACAATTCAGTTTTTTTGGAGTACAATCTGGAGGTATAGAAAATATTGGGTTCACTCAAAGAGGGTTGTATAATCATGAAAGGGATATACGTGCTAATTTGAAGGGGCATGATAGTGAAATACTTTATGAGTATTTAAAATTGGAACAAGGAAAGAATCCCGCATTTACTTTTCAAATTGAGGCCGATGAGGAACAAAAGATTACTTGTTATTTTTGGTCCGATGCAAGTTCAAGGCGGGCTTACAATTTTTTCGGTGATGTTGTAATCTTTGATACTACTTATAACACTAATCGCTATGGCTTGATATTTGCACCAATAATGGGGGTTAACAATCATGGTCAAACAATTGTTTTTACTTGTGGATTTTTGAATCATGAGAGCGTTGATGATTTTGTATGGTTATTTAATAAATTTTTGGAAAGTATGCCTCGTGGTGCCCCGAAGATGATTATTACTGATCAAGACCCAACTATGACAAAGGCATTCCCTCATGTTCTTCCAAATACTTTTCACAGGTATTATAGTTTGTATAGATTATTAAAAATATTTATATACATAGCCTTTCTTTTTAACACTTTATTTAATTCTTTTGACAGGTATTGTAGTTGGCATATATTAATGAAGTTTTCTGAGAAAATTGATGCAGTGAAGTATAGTATTTATAAAAGTGAGTTCTCGGCTTGCATTTGGAAATCAGAGACTCCTGAAGAATTTGATTTACAATGGGAAAGTTTGATTAAAAAAGTGGGTTAGAAGGAAACAAGTGGTTGCAAGACCAATGTGAACAACCAATGTGAACTTCGGTCAAGATGGATTCCTGCATATGTTAATCACATTTTCTCAGCAGACATGTCAAGTAGCCAATGAGCAAAAAGTGGACATGCATTCTTCAAGAAATTTGTTCCGAAGAATAATTCATTGGTGGATTTTATGATACAGTTTGGCAGAGGACTAGTGCGCCAACGTCACGAGGAGTTGATGGTCGATCACAAAGACGTGATTGAGAAACCTAAACTTAGAATAAATCATGACTTTTTAGAGCAAATGGTTGATGTTTACACTAATAAGATGTATTACAAGTTCGAGGCTGAAGTGTGTGACAGCTTTAACTACAAGTTGTAGTTTGTTAGGGAAACCGACAATCACCGTGTGTATCAAATTCAAAGAAAGAAGCTCGCAACAAGCAAAGTCTGCGAAATCGTTTACGACAAGCAGTTAGATTTGGTTTCTTGTAGTTGTAAAAAGTTTGAAAGCCGGAATCGTTTGTACTCACATTATCTCTTATTTGATGAAATTTGATGCTAAAATATTGCCCGATAAATACATCTTATTGAGGTGGACTAAGTCTGTAAAATCGGGGACAGTTCATGATGATAAAGGCATGCAGATAACCCCTGATAATTCTTATCTTTTAACACGGAGTCAATTTATCCAATCATCTTTGGATTTAGTTGACAAGTCCCTCGTATGTGAAGAAACAAGAGAGATGTTTTACCGATGGATTGCGTAGCATTAATGAGAAAATTGACAAATTTCTTAGTAGTCACATGGCTGTAATGAGCTTCACTGAGAAAAGTAATCCAATATGTAGTAAGATAATAGGTGATGGTACTAGTGCGCATGGTTCTAGTAGTTATGAAAATAGTTTCAATGAACTTGATCAAGTGCGAGCAAAAGGGTGCGGCAAAAGGTTGAAAGGACGAAAAGAGAAAGAAATGACTAGAGTCAAAAATAAAAAATAGACGTTGCCACGGGTGTGGTAAAGTAGGCCAATCACATGTTAAGCAAAATTGTCCGGCACTCACAAATCCGTAAGTAATAATTCTTTTATTATTTATGTTGTCTTATTTTTCACATCTTTTACCTACGATGATACAAATTTGCAAGAGGGTAATGAGTTATCAAGTGAAGATGTGGATCTCTTTGAAGATTAAGAGGATAATGGTTCTGTGAATTGCTGTCAATCACTACTATGCATTTTAACAACTCTGTTATCTCGTTAACAAATTTGCATCATTTACTTGCAAATAATTGGAACATGTGTAAGTTCCATTTACTTGCAAACTATGGCCTTGTATATGCAGACTTCAAATGTCCTTTGGCTCTGAATTGATGTTTAATGCTCCAAGTAGTCTCCTTTTTCATAATAGTACATCATGACTTGTTTGTTTTTGTATTATTTAAATTAAGATGTGTATTCATTACCTGAACAACACTCTTTTTCTATATTCATCTACATCTTTGAACTTTTCTTCTTATGATTCGGAGTGTGTTTCACAAACTGATATTTGTTGCTTGAATCAGGAGCTTGACAATCGGGAGCTGGAATCAGGACATTCTAAGATGTAATGCTCGCGCCTGTAGGACTACTAAAGAGCCATACTAGAATCAGGAGCTTGACAATCTTTGATTTGATTTTTCTAATGAAATGTAATGCTCAGCATGAACTGGGTAAACAAATGTATCACAGGAGCACTCAGTTTTTTGTCAGCTGCTTTGTTAGCTGATTTGCTATTCCTAAAGCTAAATCAACGTTATAGTACTTTGCTCTCAGTTGTTGCTAGTTAAAGATAAAGCTCGTCAAAGTTATTGTATCTTGATTTTCTATGATGGAATTGGTGCCAATGGTGTTTTAATTGTAGTAGGATGTTACATTTTGGCTGGTCACTGATGGTGTACCAGTTGATTTTTTTTTTGAAGAATTACTGATTTTGAATTGTATGTATTTATTTGTTGTAACATATTTAAAAGGTCATTAACTTTATTCTTTTGTTGCCCAAGTGCCACAAACTCTTCTGATTGAGATTCAGAGTAGAAATAGAATCTAATGAATAATCAGTGTTGTTACTATATTTAACACTCAGGCTCAGCTAAACAATCTATCATCAATAAAAATAAGGTAGAGAAGGGGATTTGAATCAGACTTCAAATAAGGTTTCTGTACTTCAATACCATACTCAGATTCTTGTATCATATATAACCATTTACTTAATAATAAACAACTTCACATCAATGTAGAGAAGGGGATTTGAATCAGACTTCAAGCAGCAAGCTTAGATAGCTTAGATAACCAAAAAGCATTTGCAAAGATCACAAAACCACAAAACCTTTCAATAACAAAGCAAGACAAAGATCACAAAACCACGCACAACAGCAAATGTAAGGAACAATACAAGAACATCAGCCACAACTACACAAGAACAAAGGAATTATTTCACTAATATTTAGAAAAGGTCACAAAGATTACAATGCCATAACTTCAGCCAGTAAAAGCAACCTCAATAGACTCAGACACTAAACATCACTGACGCCAAACTAGATACAAGACTCGACAACAACAGACAATACGAGCCCCAGCTAAAACACCAGAGAAACCAAAAATGAAAAGATAACATCACATGTTTTTTGCAATGGAGAAACAAACAAATACCGCAACGATACATACGAGAAACACTACTATTGTAAACAATGAACCTAATACAAAAGCATTGATGGAGAAACTAGCCGTTGCCCCAAGTTTTTCATTGTCCTCATCCAGATTTTGCCTCACTGAATATCTTTGTTCTTGAGCATAAACAGATGTTTGGACATGCCTCGAGCTGGATGCTGAATCACGAGCGAGTGTGTGCTTCTCCCATTCAATCAAAGCCTCTTCGTACCTTGCATACCCTTTGTAGGAGGCATTTGGGAATTTATCTGCCTGAGATTTGCATTCCTCCCAATTATAAAAAATACCACATCGTCGACCTCTCTTCACAACATAAAAACTCTTTCTTGTCATGGATAACCTGAAAATATTTGTATACATGACTTATCAATGGATTTTACTGTATTGGTGGGTTATATTAATTGCTCATGTGGGTAGCATGGTGTGAATTTATTTAAAGTTAGGTATGACTCAACTACCTCCCATCTAAATATCATAAAAGATCATGATGTCTACAGTACCCCAAATGGGTCTTAGGATAGAGACCTTTGTACATTTTCTAAATATTTGGTAAACACAGAGAAGTTTTGGAGCATGTATATTTATTGGTTATATTGTTTAATTATTTTATTCAGTGCATACTGTTTTTAAGTTCTAGCAACATAGCAGCATTTTTGGCAAGTTGGTGAGAAAGTAACAAATAAATGGTACTGATCCTTCAATTTAATATCCATGCAGACATTGGTTTGATTGTCTATCATTAAAACCCCCAAGAAATAAGGAGATGAAATGTTGTGTTTGGATAAAAATTTCTTGTGAGTGAAAAATAGATCTAATTTTCTCATTAATACCGAGGATTTCGCCCTTCTATTAAGTTTATCCACGTTTCTGCTATCAACTACATGAATCATATCCACAACAAATGACCTATATAAAATGTACTGTATGTCAAATTTCTCTAATTCGAACCAAACAAAAACTGTTTATTTGTAGAAAATCAGAAAATCATCAAATTCTTAGACTTTAGTTAAATTATTCTAGTCAGTCAGCCTTCAACATTCCAAACCCAAAAAATTTGATTCTTCAACATTAGAAAATCCGAAAAATCAGAAAATCGAGAGTTGGTGAGGAAGAACGCACCTTCGTGGCCGTCGTGGTTGGTCGAGAGAGTGGGGAGAAATTAGGTTTTTGGTGCACTCTGTCACCACAGGCGTGGTTGGTCGGGGTTCGGCGGCGGATCGAGAGAGGGCGGAGGCAGTAGGGGTTACGCGGCCATGGCGGTCGTGGTTGATCGAGAGAGGGGAGAGAAATTAGGGTTTCGGCGACGGATCGAGGGAGGGAGGAGGCAGCAGGGGTTCGGCGGCGGTG